TGTGAATAAATTAGTGGCAGGGACAAAAAAATCCAGTGTCTTAAAACAGAAACACACAGAAATAGATTATTTGGGTGGAATGAATGATCTATAGCTAATACAGAAAAATATAAAAATATAACATCAGTGGTATAAAGAGGCATTTCTATTATTAAATGAATCTAAATAATTCTATTTGAAGTCTTCAGCGTGTATTTTCAACTTAAGGAATATTACAAGAGGTTTATCTGAAATGCTATTTTCGAACATTTTTTAAATGTCTATTTTTTTTCAGGAGCAAAAAATGTTCTTCAAACCCCTGCTGGAGTAAAACAGTATGTCACGTGGCATTTATTACATATCCCAGCGCCTGTCAAGATGGACAAATCACAGACTAGGTGTATGCCTTTAAAAAAATAAGAAATTATATGTTTTCTTGTTTTTTAACAATAAACAAAAATAAATAACACAAATAACTACAAGTAACAAAACCAAAGACATTACATTCTTCCTGCATTCAAAAACAAAACCAAAAAAATAGCAAAAGATAGTAATATAATGGCATTTTAGGCTTTTATGATTCGAGAAACACGCCGTCAAGTGTGGTAGTGCAACGGGATTTTTTTTTCTTTCTTTTTTTTAGATAAATTAACATTTCTTTGTAAACCAGCAATGCTGTGTAGTGTAGGTATCCTCTGGCTCCTTCAAGGAAACTGTTTTTAGGGTGTGTTTTCCTTTTCTTCTTTTCTTACATGGAAGCATTGTAGAGGATGTGCTTGTTGAGGGAGCATCATCTTCATCCAGGGACTCAAAAGAACTGTCACCAGCTACCTCTTCTCGGACGGGGTGATAATCCGGATCCTCTATTGCAGTGGTTCTCAAACCTCTCCATGAAGTACCCCCAGCTCTGCACATTTTGTATGTCTCCCTCTATCTGACACACCCACTTCAGGTCTTGCAGTCTCCACTAATGAGCTGATGAGTTGAATCAGGTGTGATAGATGAGGGAGACACAAAATGTGCAGGGCTGGAGGTACTCCAGGACAGGTTTGAGAACCACTGCTCTATTGGGTCATCAACATCACTGAGATCAGCATCAGAGTCTTGGGGGTTTTCTTATACAAGGGCCTGAAGAGTGCGCGTTCTTGTACCATAGAAACTGTTGACATCCATCTAGTAATTGTAAAAAAGCAACAACAAACAAATAAATAACAATCTCTTACAATTTTGTGTAAGAGACACACACACACATGCAGTATATATTTATATTTATTGAAAATATGTACATGTTTATATTTATATTCATAGAATATATATTATATATTTAATATATAAACATTACATATTTTTCTTAAATATATACATGCATGTGTTTGTATTTATATATACATAATAAATATACACAGTACACACACATATATTATGTAAAGAAAAACTTTTATTTTGGATGCGATTAATCGCGATTAATCGTTTGACAGCACTAATATATATGTAACACTTCAGCCACCCATGGAAAAATACAGTAGATTTAGTCTCGTCGACACAAGAACAAGAATTATAGTACAGTGCAACTGAACTGTATACAGTGAAGAATAGAATACATAATGAAGTAGTGGGGGATAGTATGCATCCTAGGGCGAGTTTTTATGTTTGTGTCAGCTGAGCATAAACTAAGCGAGTGTGTTTCTTACTCTCATCTGAAATGAATCTGTCAGCCGAAGCATGGCAGACCCGGCCCGTGTGAAAGCCGTCGCAAGGGTCAGCGAGGCACCCGCGCCTGCAGAGAGACCCAAGCAGGGCGAGGGGTCCGGGGACGCTCCGGGGAGCAGCGGTAAAGTCTCTGAACCCGCTGCTGTCCAGACCACTACCAAAGAACAGGGCAAAGCGGTCAGTCCGTTTGTTAATCGCAAAGACTAGAAATGATCCGATAGAAATGTATTTCTTCATGATTGATCTGATTGTGCTTTAGAGGTCTGCTGAAGATGCTGCTGCTGCAGCAGCTGGTGACGAAGAAGAAGGATCTTCATCACTTCATCCTCCTCCTGCTAAAAAACTGAAAGTGGAGCATGACAAGAAGAAGGAGAAACGCCAGAAAGTCGATGAAGATGAAATACAGAAGATGCAGTAAGCTTTATTTGATATATGCTGCATCTTGTTCCATTGTGTGTGTTATTCTGGATGAGGATGCAAAACTTCTCGTTTTTATTCCACAGAGTCTTAGTATCCTCATTCTCTGAAGAGCAGCTGAATCGCTATGAGATGTACAGACGCGCTGCTTTCCCAAAGGCAGCTATTAAAAGAGTAAGTGTGGAGCAGTTACTAAAGAAATGTGTACAAGGTTTCATTTGAAACTAATCATAATCTGGGACCAACTTTAAAGTATCATAATTGGAACCAATAAGAGTGAAAAAGGTTGTACTGGGTAAGCTAAGATTGTATTAAATTGTTAATTAATACTTTGAGATTGTTGCATACTCATTGGGACTCGTCAATACAAGCAGGGCTCTGATAACGTGTCTTGCTACTGGACAATTCAAGAAAAAAACATATACTGATGTAGAGTTAAATGTTAAACAGGAATGCAACATTTATTATAAGATTCCAATTAGGATCCTTCCAAATTATCATAGAAATTCTAATGGCAACCCTGTAAACATTTGTTTAAGATCTAAGTGTCACGCTTTGTGTTTGAATTATATCATGAAAAAAAAATATATGGAAGAGGTTGAAAGTTTTTGAAATGGATTGTTTCTGTTTTCCAGCTGATTCAGTCCATCACAGGATCTTCTGTCTCTCAGAATGTGGTCATCGCCATGTCGGGAATTGCGAAGGTGTTTGCTGGGGAGATCGTTGAGGAAGGTTGGTTAGACACTAAAATATGATTCAGCTAAAACCGTGTGGCTCATTAATTGTTTCCATAAATGTGTTTGTTTTTCTCTCTCTCTCTCTCTTCAGCTCTCGATGTGTGTGAGAAGTGGGGAGACACGCCACCCCTGCAGCCCAAACACATGAGAGAAGCTGTCAGGAGATTGAAGAGCCGAGAGCAAACTCCCAACAGCAAACACAAAAAAATCCTCTTCCACTGAGCTCCAGTCCCTCTCTTGTGACTCTCCTTCTATTTGAAAACACTCTCTATTAGTATTGTTGTGGGGGCAATGGACATAACCATGCATCTTTTTCAGATTTCTGATGTGTTTGGAATGCGCTGTTTTTATCTTCGGTTTGTTTTGTTTGGTATAAAGTAGAGGATGTGGTATATCTCTTGTTTTGTCCACAGTCTGTCCTCTAGAGCATGTGACGAAATTAAAAAAAAAATGAATGTTAAGGAAGACTTTTAGGATGATAAATATTGTACAATTCCTAGCTGTCACTCAAAAGTAAGTATGCCATTGAAATGTCTGTGGACTCATTTTTAAAAATATTTTGTAATATTTGTTTTATTTTGAGAACTACATATATGTGCAAGTGATATTGTGTATGGAAATGATATAAAATTGGAATCTTTGGAGTTAATAAATATTTTGATGAAACCCAGAGTTTTCTTTACCATGAGACCAGACAGTCATAACAAAGCTTGACTAACAGATTATATTCATGTTACTGGGAATAAAAGAGTAAGTGTGGAGCAGTTACTAAAGAAATGTGTACAAGGTTTCATTTGAAACTAATCATAATCTGGGACCAACTTTAAAGTATCATAATTGGAACCAATAAGAGTGAAAAAGGTTGTACTGGGTAAGCTAAGATTGTATTAAATTGTTAATTAATACTTTGAGATTGTTGCATACTCATTGGGACTCGTCAATACAAGCAGGGCTCTGATAACGTGTCTTGCTACTGGACAATTCAAGAAAAAAACATATACTGATGTAGAGTTAAATGTTAAACAGGAATGCAACATTTATTATAAGATTCCAATTAGGATCCTTCCAAATTATCATAGAAATTCTAATGGCAACCCTGTAAACATTTGTTTAAGATCTAAGTGTCACGCTTTGTGTTTGAATTATATCATGAAAAAAAAATATATGGAAGAGGTTGAAAGTTTTTGAAATGGATTGTTTCTGTTTTCCAGCTGATTCAGTCCATCACAGGATCTTCTGTCTCTCAGAATGTGGTCATCGCCATGTCGGGAATTGCGAAGGTGTTTGCTGGGGAGATCGTTGAGGAAGGTTGGTTAGACACTAAAATATGATTCAGCTAAAACCGTGTGGCTCATTAATTGTTTCCATAAATGTGTTTGTTTTTCTCTCTCTCTCTCTCTTCAGCTCTCGATGTGTGTGAGAAGTGGGGAGACACGCCACCCCTGCAGCCCAAACACATGAGAGAAGCTGTCAGGAGATTGAAGAGCCGAGAGCAAACTCCCAACAGCAAACACAAAAAAATCCTCTTCCACTGAGCTCCAGTTCCTCTCTCGTGACTCTCCTTCTATTTGAAAACACTCTCTATTAGTATTGTTGTGGGGGCAATGGACATAACCATGCATCTTTTTCAGATTTCTGATGTGTTTGGAATGCGCTGTTTTTATCTTCGGTTTGTTTTGTTTGGTATAAAGTAGAGGATGTGGTATATCTCTTGTTTTGTCCACAGTCTGTCCTCTAGAGCATGTGACGAAATTAAAAAAAAAATGAATGTTAAGGAAGACTTTTAGGATGATAAATATTGTACAATTCCTAGCTGTCACTCAAAAGTAAGTATGCCATTGAAATGTCTGTGGACTCATTTTTAAAAATATTTTGTAATATTTGTTTTATTTTGAGAACTACATATATGTGCAAGTGATGTTTTGTGTATGGAAATGATATAAAATTGGAATCTTTGGAGTTGAGGAAGAAAAAAAATTTGAAAAATAAATATTTTGATGAAACCCAGAGTTTTCTTTACCATGAGACCAGACAGTCATAACAAAGCTTGACTAACACATTATATTCATGTTACTGGGAATCCCAAACATACTACAGTGATAATGATAATAATAATAATAATAATACACTGATCTGCAGCTGATCTCATGACCTGTCTGTCTACATCCTCCAGGTATTGTTGCTTATCTTACTGTGAGACACCATTCAGTAGAAGTGTACACGTGTTTTATTAGTTTAAAGTTGCCATGAAATCAGGAGTACAATTCAAATTTTTATTGAATATTGCAGTATTTATTATAAATGACATATCTGTGCATTATTATTATTATTAATGAATTCGGGTGCCCTTGTAATCTTTAATCAAAATATCTTAAATCCCGCCCAGGCTGATCAAGAAAAAAAAAATCATAAAGATCATAAATTCTGTTTATCGCTGACTTTAAACCTTTTGTTTGATGAAACACATCACAGGCAGTGAAGCTGTGGCATGGTGTGTGAGCCATATAAAGACTAATAACAAATATTTAATCAAAACACCCACAATACTGGGCTCATATTCTTTTCCTTTCGGCTGTTCCCTTCAGGGGTCGCCACAGCGAATCATGTGCCCTGTAGGTCAACGGCACCGATGGCGGTCGTTGTTAACCCGGGCCCCGACCGATCCGGTATGGAAGTCATGTTCGTGATTCGCATAATGAATTTGGCAAAAGTTTTACGTCGGATGCCCTTCCTGACAACCCTCTCTATTTATCCGGGCTTGGGACCGGCACAAAAGGTACACTGGCTTGTGACCTCCTGTGGCTAGATTAATACTGGGCTCATATACCCTATACATTTGCTATGTTCTTTAGAATGTCAAGGGCTTTAACTAAAAGATGTCTGATTTCACCATTATTATTGTGCAGTGCTGGTTTACAGTGATCTGCATTATATAATCAGATTACAAAACTCAGTACTTGTAATTAGAATATGTTAAATTTTTAAAATGCTCAAAATTAGACTAGAGTTAATTGAACAGCAGTAAACTCTTCAATTTATTTTTCCTAATTATCTACTGTATTTTTTTTTTCTGTAGAGCTTCTTCAAAGTTCACTAAGTTTTCCAGTCGCACATCGTGTGAGACATTTTTTTTTATGGATGGGCGCTTTTTATTTCACTTCTTTTGGACTGAAGCACTGCAACACCCGCTGACTGCAATGATAGAGCTTGGAATAGCCAGGACAATTTTTAATATAACTCAAGACTGGATTCGTCTGAAAGAAGAAAGTCATATACACCTAGGATGCCTCGGGGGTGAGTAAAAAACAGCCACATTTTTGGGTGAACTAACCCTTTAAGACATAACACATAAGACACTCTTTTTCGCCACCTGCTGGCGTATTTATGTAATATGAAGAAATGGTCACTGAATGAATCAGTGAACGAATCTGAACGAATCATTTTGGTGAACGAACTGAAAATGAACAAATCTCTTGAAAGAATCAAAATTTCCACCACTAATTAGAGCTGGTTCACCGTTGTCGCTTGCGAAATCACAATGACGGCGCCGTGGGGGGAAACTTACAGATTAAGGGGCGGTAATATTATAAGATGATCCCTTTGCAACGTCACTGGGGGAGCGAAATCAGACGCGCTCATTTTTTCAGACGCTTTCAGAAAAAGGCTTACCAAAACAAAGTTACTGGGTTAATCTTTTTCACGTTTCGTTGGTTGGTAGATGCACCGGGGACCTGATTATAGCACTTAAAACCTGGAAAAGTCAGATTTTCATGATGTTACCTTTAATATTCTTCCAATACTTGGTATTGTGGCCATCTCCTCTTCATCTGTTCTTCATTATTTTTGCGAGCCTTCTTGCTGTTGGCTGAGTTGAAGTCAAATGTTAATTTCACTCTAATTAAGAAATGCAACAGTTTGGATAAAAGAACGTTTAATTATGTGAAAAGCGCATTAGACTATGTGGGAACATTGAAATAGACACTGAATGATATTTATTTAATTTGTCCCGAATCCTTGCTGGTCTCAACAAGGGAACCTGTGACGTCAGCAGGTGGAGTTTCCACTACAGACCTCAGTTTGAAAGATGCCATTTTTAAAAGCCATCGGAGTTCAGGTAAATTAACAACAACAAATATGTCAGTTCAGCAGTGGTCAGCAGAAGAGACCAACACTCTTCTTCCGCAAGAGATAACAAACGATTCCAGTCACATGTTGGTGACGCAGGGGTTTCTGCTCCCTGCCAGTGGAAAACACGAGCTGGTTCTGATTGAGTGCCACTCTTGGGCGAACACCGGCTCCAGCTTCAGCACTAGCCCCAGCAGAAATACGGTAAGAGTAGCAAGGTTTCGTTACTGAATGAATGAGTATTTTCAATTAATTGGTTAAATGAATGATTCAATGACTCACTCATAAACAGCCACTTGTGATGATGTAACCTTTAGAAAAATCTTCACAAGCAATGTATAGACAGTATCTGGAAGTCCCAGTGTTTGTTATCGGTCCTGTATCAAAGTGTTCAGATGTTTCAGTGACTCTTACAATGTTACAGACCATAAGCGTCAGAGAAACAAGTGTGCAGCCGTCATTCGAAATTTGTCTTTGAACTTCCGTTTTTGCGGCTGCTCTACAGCATCTCCCATTCTTGTTGGCGAAGCAGAACCGGACAAAGTAACTGGCGATATTGTATCTAAAAATATACGTTACTCAGCATTAACTTAACTGCCATTTCTCCACAGCAGAATTATTGTTTTGGACATTTATTCACAATTATTTTCTTATTTTTTTTACTAGTAGCTAATAAAACATTACTATGTTGGTCATTCGTTTAATAAGTGCATTGACGTTAAGTAACTGACAGAAGAAACACAAAGTTCAACTTTAAGAAACATTTTATTGATCTTCATTGGTCTTGACATATTTTCACACAGTTATGGTTCACAGAACCAACAAAATATCAGTTTGTTTTAATGTTTTGTTCCAGGACTTTAATGGTGATAGAAATGTGAAATTGCATTAGAATATCGTAATGAAGAGATCAGAGGTCAAACTAAAACCTTGAATTTCATCCATAGCAGGTCAGAGGGACATGAACAGTACTGAACATGTGTCATTCAATTAACCCAACTGCAGACATCAGATATAACCAAGCACAACTCAATTCAACTATTTAAAACGATAATCGTACAATCTTACACTGTATCACCTACAGCTCAACCTGGCAAAGACTGAGCTTCTTGTCTTCCCTGCCACTCCAACTCAACAGCATGATTTCACCATCCAGCTAGGTTCTTCTACAATAACCCCATCGACTTCGGTCAGAAATCTTGGTGTAATCTTCGATGACCAGCTGACCTTCAAAGACCACATTGCAAAGACCGCTCGATCTTGCAGGTTTGCATTGCACA